AGGTTAATGGGTAGAGAAGAGACAGAGGTTCTAGCTGATGTTTCTAAATGCCAAGCATGACTGTAATAAAACATTCCTCAATCCAAAAATAAAATAAAATGATGAGAGGGCAGACTCTGCATATATTACTGTGGCCAAAAGTCTCTCTCGAGGTCACACATTCAATTTTGCAATTCCTAAGATTGTCGTATGAGCAGGCACAAAAGCAGACAGGGAAGTGATTGAATCTTGAGAAACAGGCCCCTCTTGTCAATCAACAGGAGTGCTGATTTACCACCAGCCTACTCAGTACTTACCACCAGTACTTAGAAGGCAAGGGCTGGGCAACACAAGCAAATGACTTAAAAGCCAGGCATCAACACACCCCAATCAACATCTAAGAAACCACTTACAACAGACTATAAATGCCACACCCAGAACAGCACAAACTGCTAAAGAGAAGTTCCCTGAAGATGGGTTCCACCATGAGTCTGAAAGCTCAGAAGACAAAACCTCTGGTCTCAGTGACTGACCCAGATCCGATCCTGTAAAAGTCTCTCACTTGTAGATGTTTCTCTCTGGATTTCAGATATTGCAGTAACAATGACCCCAGGAAGACTGCTGGATGTCATCTGAGAAAATCTCCAGGGAGCCAAAGGTGCTCTTTTACATATAACTGAGTGGGAGGCCTTGTTTGTGGCTACACTTTAGCAAAAAAAGGTGCTTCCCAAGCTGATGACCTCTTTTTGGAAAGGGTGGTAGTAATGCCCTAGGCGTTTAGTGTGAAAGAACTTTATCTACTTAGAGAGATGAGACAACTCATGAGACCATGGCTACCATAATAATTGTCATACCCCTGTCGGAGACTGAATCTGAGGAGGAAGAAGAACAGCTGACAGGGAGTGGGAGTGTGGCTCTGTTGGCTGTGGAGGAATTCAATATTTATGAGGCATTAAAAACAGCAGATTTAATCCCTTGACCACTGATGCTCATGGCCAAGTCACCTTTCTAATCAACACAAAGATTTGTGAATGAAGGCCTAAAGGGCTGTTCCATTTATCTCATTATTTTAACATAAGAGAAATAACTCTTTCTGTCACAACAGGCCAAGGTCGGTCAGCATCCAATCTCTCAATGACAACCAGGT